AGGAGTAAACGTGGATGAGGTAATATTGGATAATACTATACTCCTGAAATCTGGTATAAAAAAAGTTAAATTTGTAAAAATAAGCCCCAATATTGAATATTATTTCTAATATACTGATGCTAATAATACAAGATTATAGATTTTGATATACGGTTTCCACTCCAAATGTATCACATTACAAAAGCTACAGGCTGTTTCATATTGTGATGCAAGTAATGGTTTATTTAGAATTTTTTTTATTATATCGTTTTCTCTGTTACCACAATCCTTACAAGTTTGTGGGCTAAATGTTGTTGTTTTTTCTAAGGTCTATGCTATATTTAAAGCTTTCTTTAAACAAGAGAGTCAATAAGAGTGGAAGAGTAAATTGATTGAATGAAATGAAAACCGAATCAGATAAAGAAGCCAAAGGTGAGAGAGAAAATGAAAACTGAAAAAGAGCTAAAAAATATTGTGAATGTGTGAAACAGATGAAAAGCAAGTTTTTTTTTATACACAGAGTGAAGAAGACTGAGTTTGCATGTGTGTGTGTGTGTGTGTGTTTTCTATGTTATAGGGACAAAATGTCCCCAAAACGATAGTAAAACATGAAAGTTTTGCGAAATTCCGGTCCCATGAGAAAAACAGCTTATAAATCAAATGAAATTATATATATTTTTTAACATGTAAGGGTTCTGTTTAGGGTTGGGGGATAGAATGTAAAGTTTGTACAGTGTAAAAATCATTATTTCTATGGAGACTTTTCTAAAAAACCAAATGTGTGTGTGTGTTTAGATTGAGGGTGGCTGACTCACAGCCCAGTGTCTCTCACCACAGCCTCAAAAGGGAAAGTTGTTCCACAGAGCCTAATGGAAACCACTCTGTCTGCTTTTCCCTTCAGTAAACCTCTCCCCCTTCACTCACTTACTTCAGTCTATCTCTGTCGTACATAAGCACACACACTCACTCACACAGGCATACACACTGTTTGGAGCTTCCTAAAAACAGCTGCACTGTTCCAGTTTCAGCTTAACAGGTCAACAGTGCTTAACCCTTCCCTCTACACACACACACACACACACACACATCCTCTCATTACTCGTCAACTCACATACTTTCTCACACACACATCCCTTTACATGTGCTAAGTAAAAACACAGCTTTGAGTTGTCAAGGAAACAGCAATAAATACACAGTCCTCCATCCATGCTCTATTTTCCCTGATAGATCTCTCTCACTTTTTCTCTCCACCTTTATCTCGTTCCTTCTCTCTCTCTTTCTCTCTGCTCAGTAATTTACTCACGTCTCAGAGCTCAACATTCAGAGCTGTGGGTAATAGAGCAGTGGAGACTGAGAGAAACACCGTATAGTAAGTAGAGCAAAGAGTAAAGTTGAACATAAAAGGAAAAGAATAGTGTGTAGTACAACAGAATAAAGTAGAAGAGAGAAGAATGAATACAGAAGCATCTGATCATACAGAATAGAATAAAGAGTGTAGAAAAAGAGCAGATTAGAGCACAGTAGATTAGAATAGCATTAGTAGATGGAATAGAGAGAAAAATAGAACAGAATAAAATAGAGTAGATATAGTTCAAAAATAGAACAGCAGAGTACAGTTGCACTGAATTAGAATGGACTTAAATAGAACAGAATAGAGAAGAATACTGAGTATTTAGTAGTGTGAATTCGGACATACACTGTAAAAATGAATATGCTTTATCTAATCATTAGAATTGTGGCAACAGATTACAAGCAATATTATCAATTCAATTTAACAAATTAGAATTGAGTAATAATTAATCAAATTATTCCTTAAAAGTTAACCATTTAAAAGGAGTAAAGTTTACACCATTTAACACATATACCTCACTAACAGACAGACGTCAAAGATTAATTAAGAACTCTTTATCTTATATTGCCAACATTGAAGACACCTGATGTTAACAAGCAGAATCACTGAAGGGGAAAACCTTCATTTTATAACAAACCTAAAACAAACACCGATCATCATAATGATCACTCAATTTATGGTTTTTTTTTTGGTTGTTGTTGTAAGTTTTACTCATTTTAAACAGTTAACTTTTAAGGAATTAATTTGATTAATTATTACTCAATTCTAAGTTGTTAAATTTAATTAATAATACTGCTTGTAATCTGTTGCCACAATTTTTTTGATTAGATAAAGCATATTCATTTTTTACAGTGTACTTCTTTTGTCACATACTATTTTTCGCCTACTATATAGTAAGAAAGTATGTAAAAAGTATGCAGCCCTAGTTTCACGAATTAACCGATTCAATGACAAATACATTAACAGTCACTTGCCGCCACCTACTGGCAAAACAATGTAATCGATAATCGATCGTTATTTGAATCGTTGTTTGTTACTTTCAAAAGGGGATTCGCTCTATTTTGATCACTACTGTAGACATCAGTGTTTTTATCTGAACTTTAAAGTTTTATTCCCACTTCTATAATAACGATACTGTGTGGTTGAAAAGACTGTTTGTGAGGCTGTTTCATACGTAAACATGAAAACTGCTCCCTCTCAGCATTCAGAGGCAGCACAAACACACATTTGAATGCTCGTATGGTTTGTCAAAGGGTTAATAGACGAATCGTTGTTTTTTAGGAGTAAGATCACGTGGGTGTTTGAGATCGGGATCTTTAAACTATTAATTCAGACCACATCAGTGTCATGTGCCGGCGCTTTATCCAGACATTCTCTAATGCTTTCCCTCCCTCTCCCTTGCGTTTCTTTCTCACAGCCTCACAGTTCCCCCTACACACACACACACACACACACACACACACACACACGAAAGAGAGGGGGTCTCTCTTTTATCATCCATCCACAGGCATCAGAGACTGGAAGTGATGAAATGATGCAGTGGTGTGTGAGCTGTGTGTATGTGTGTGTGTTTCTTCACATCTCACAGTGAAAGTAAACAGTTTTACGCAGAGCACTAACAGTCCTGTGTCTTCTCCTGCACTAAATGATATGATTGCTCCATGTGATGATGATAAACAAACACAGCCTGCAGTATTTAAAGGAGGAGGAGCATGTGCTAATCACACACCCTTTACAAAAACACACACTCATACACTGATGAAATCACTATGAGAATACTCTCTAAAACACACTCTAAACTTAACATGCATTACACAAATCCAATCCAACTATCAAATCCAACAGAAAAGCTCGAACAAACCAAGACATTATTATTCCGATTATGTTTGCAGGAAAATATGAAACTTTGCTTTTTTGTAGTTTCCAAAACTTTGCAAAGCTGATGTAGTTTCTATATATATATATCTTTGTGGGAAAAATCTTGATCAGGTTCTTTCAATGGTGGGTTTGTGTTTGTCTTTACCAGTTCTCCTCTCAGATTATTTAATTAAATCAATGTAATAGTATTTTAAAAGTAATTTAGTGATAGTTTGGTGATTTTTGTATATTGGCAACTGATCAACATATATTTAGATCTGAATAAATTTGCTAACATGCCGTTTGACATGCAACATGTTTTTTTTTTAGTATTAGATATGTTAATCACTTTTCTCATGTCTCGAACACTGACAGCTGTACGTTGATTATTTCTATTAAATACACTACACATATAATGTACATATAATGTACATGTACACTACCGGTCAAATAAACACTTTCTATTCATCAAATAATCCTGGAAAAAATGTATCAAGGTTTCCACAAAAATATTAAGCAGCACAACCATTTTAAACTGTGATAATAATATTAAAATGTTTCAGCATATTCGAATGATTTCTGAAGACACTGAAGAGCTGAAAATTCAGCTTTGCATCACTGGAATAAATTACATTTAAAAACATACTAAAATAGAAAATAGTTATTTTAAATAGTAGTAATATTTCCCAAAATGACTGTATTTTTGATCAAATAACTGCAAATAAATTTTCCCCAAAAACATTTAAAAATCTTACTGAACTTTTGAAAGGTGGTGTAAACTATATTCTGAACACACACACTACTACACAAATGAAATAATACTGCAAAATACTGAGAATATTATATATAAACGCTACAGAATATAGTCAGAGAACATCCTCTGAAGACTTAGATGATAAGCCTTAGATTCAATACTCCGCTGTCTGTTCTGTGAGAGTTTCATAATTTATATAGAAATATTATTATAGAAATCTACATTCCTGTGTTTACATCGCAATGCTATTTTCCAACACTACTTCCCCTGGAAAGCTACATTAAATTGACTTTCAGCCGTTCTGTGAATATAAATCTTATTATGCAACAAGTTTTATCTCATTTTTTTTCATTGCCAAGAGATGAAATGATAATTTGCAATTAAACAGGCTATTTTGGATATACATACCTAAAGGCACAAACACTAACCAATGCAACACTATCACAAACACTCACCAATGCTACAAACACAGACTAATTAAACCAGTAATGACTTCACATATCACACTTTTATGAGGAGGTCTGAGAAAGCAGTGATAAAAATCTCATCTTTAGCAAATATGTAACACCTAGAGCAAAAGAGAGAGAGACTGAGCATAAATATGATGGTGTTGACGTTAAATAAAAATGTTTCAGCATAAACTGAAGGGAGATGAGAAAAGGCTAAATGGGTTCTTATTTCATGCTCTAAAATACAGCTGTACACATCATTATATTTACACCCTTTTTTTATTATATTGCAGTGATACTTCAGGTCCTTATTACTGTATGATATTTTATGAATGCATTTCATTCATTCATGTCATAAAAGCCTTTATGTCTAAGTAGATCAATAGCTCACCATGCTCATGTCCCAGAATTCCAGTCACCCAAAAAGACAATGACTTGCCCTAAAGGAAAGCTTCTTTCAACACTTTATACATTTTAACAAAAGTGTTTGTCCTTTGTAGTGGCCTGTGATTTAATCACACTGTGATACAATGAATGCCAGTCATACATACAGCACCTCCACACACACACACACACAAACCCGAATTATAATAATAACTTGCGCACACACCTCGAATGGCTGGAGCTCCTCCTTTTCTGTGTAGAACTCCAGCTGTCTGTCAGAGATGAACTCCACCACCGACAAGCCTCCCACGCATGACTGACCAATCAGAGGCTGGAATCTCTGTAAAGCAAAACACCACATCCAATCAGTCGACTTCATCAGAAGCCAAAGCTATCTAAACCTTTTCAAGGGAACAAGGTCTTGAACTCATGTGTGCTCATCATTTAAACACGTTTTAAAATATATATTTCAAGGCAAAAAGTATTCTTTAGAAATATCATGAATTATTTAATTCGTACATTTTATTAATCTGAGATCATCTGATATTTCAAGAGCTTTTAAACTTGACACACAGTCTTAGGGGTCTTCCCTATGATATAATTTCCTGTTTGATCTTTTTTGTTGCTTGTTTGTGCAATTGGACCATTGGACCAATGTGAGGTTAATCAATAAGGTTTTTTTTAATTATTAAGATTTTTTCCTTTATTATGATATCAGGATAGTAGTATCACCCTGACAACGCCACTTAAAATAAAAAAAAAATTAAATTCTAATTAATTTAGAATTTAGATTTAAAAAAAATCTAATTAATTTTAGATAAAAAATTAACAAGAAAAATAAGTGTCATGTCATTGACATATGCGCAAAATAGTGGTAAGCAGGTAAATTACATACAGTACCTACAGTAAGCATGTTGAACAATATCTTTGTGAAATAAGTGCTGCTCTTTTGAACCTTTTAATCAAACAATCTAGAAAAATGTATAACATTTCCACAAAAATATTAAGCAGTAGAACCTTTTTCAATTGTGATAATAAGAAATGTTTCTTGACTCTTGAGCAACAAATCAGCATATTAGAATGATTTCTGAAGGATCATGTGACACTGAAGAGTAATGATGCTGAAAATTCAGCTTTGCATCACAGGAATAAATTACATTTTAAAATATGCAAGAATAAAAAAAAACAGTTATTTAAAAAAATTTATTATGGTCTATGCATCACATTGACACATTGAAAAAATAAAAATAAATAACATTAATTTCAAATAAACTATTCAACAACAAAAAATAAATAAAAGAGTCACTTTAACTTTAACTTATGTGCATAAGTTCAAGTAAACAACGCTCCATACTGCATAATTGTGTGTGTGTGTGTGTGCAAATATCTTGTGAGAACTCAGTTAAACTCCCATCGATCAAGTCATATTCTCTATGCATGGTTTCTATTTATATAAATACTAGGCCAGCACACTCAAATTTTCCATGTCTGGCTGCTTGGGTTATGTGTGTGTGTGTGTGTGTGTGTGTGTTCGTTCATGTACTGTAAGTCAATGCATATTATGCAACAACAATTTTCATGTCTCTGCAGTTTGCTGAAGTGAAATCTAATCTAAATGTGGCCACAGTGTTATGGGATGTGCATGTGAGTGCGAGTGTGGGTCAGGTTTTGCTTACATTGTGGGAACCAGATGTCCAGCCAGCATGGATGACTTAAACATAATAAATGTCATAATGAAAATGCAAAATAGTTGGGGAGGGTATGGTTTATGTACAAAAGATAGAAAACTTCATCAGCTCAGTATAAAAACAACAGATGTCAAAGGAAAGTTTTTTTTTTTTGTAGAGGCATTATACATGTGACGACTTCTGAGGATCCAAACATCAGTCAACCAAACCTCAATTCACTGTGTACTGTGTGCCAGTCTGACTATGTGTGTGTGTGAGACTCATAAACCATGAGCTGGAGGGTAAGGGGACAAACAGAACGTGTGTGTGGGCTATTTTTAGACACTCTACTGACTGTGTGCAGTTCACTCACACACACTGTCGCACACACACCCCACAGTTACACACGTTTACCGCACTGTGGTTTGAGACTCTGTTCTGTCAGTGAGGCATACAGAGAGAGAGGACAAACAGTCAGGACAAACATTCTTTAGCAGCATAACGACTTCATTAAGACACAAATCTGTGCACAATAAACACATTTAATGCACGCACGCACTAACAGCTAAACTACTACAATTCTGCTTCTAGAAATATATAAATAAATAGACTAATTTTAATTACTATAAGTAACAGATTCCAAGGTAAAGTGCTCGACCAGATTGATAATTGCCTATTTTGAGACTGTCGACATTAGCCAGTAATTGACCAGTTAGAAATAAGACCAGTTTGTATAAAAATTATTAATACTTTTCCCCCCAGCAAGGACATTTCATCAAAAGTGACAGTAAAGATATTTAAAAAAAAAATTCTTGAGCAGAAAATTGGCATATTATAATGATTTCTGAAGTGTCATGCGACACTGAAGACTGTAGTAATGATGCTGAAAACACAGGAATCACAGGAATAAACATTTTAAAATATACTACAATAGAAAACGTATTTAAAATTGTAATAATATTTCACAATATTACTGTTTTACTGTATTTTTAATCAAATAAATGCAGCCTTGACGAGCACTTTTCAGTGTATAAAATACACTGGCATTAAAGTTTGGGGTTGTACGATTTTTTGTAAGTATTGTCAAATTTATGTTAATGTATGTAAATGTTAATTTCATTTCAGCTATTTGAAGTACTGTACGTCCCATTTACAATCATTAATTTAAATATTGGTAATATATCAGCATATATTGCCAGTATATTGTCCTTCATCCGCTCTTTGCAGCAGATATCAGCGTTGGCTAATAAAAATCCCTATCGGTCGATCGCTAATGAAAATCAATAATGTATTGTGTAATGTAATGCCATTTATAAAACGGTTAGTTCCAATCCTTGATTCTGATTACTATATTCATGATAAAACACGGCTATGATATGTTGTTTTTACTTGAGCTTTCATGCATATTACTCACGTTGTTGCTCTTCATGGTCAGGGACTATTTTTTTCTAGCGGAAGGAGGGCTTTTGGTGATTTTACTTCATGAAAGTTGCACTAATACATTTTTTTTACTTTTATTTTTGTATTGTGTGGTACAACACCTAACAACGCCCTTCAGCCGTTACTTATTCACAATCCAGCACAGCCTCTCGTACCTTATTGCTTACGTAACATGTCCACGCGAGAATAAACCAGTGTCTGCAGTGTGATATATATTACAAAGTCTGTGGTAAGCCATAAAACAAAGTCAAAAGAATCTAGTCTAATTATAAACTTAAATGAGATCCACTCCACCTTCAGTCCATGCATGTCTGTTTAATAACTCACACATTTTTTTAGGGCTGTCAAACGATTAATCGTGATTAATCGCATCCGAAATAAAAGTTTGTGTTTACATAATAAATGTGGGTGCACTGCGTATAATTATTTTATATATATATATATATATATATATATATATATATATATATATATATATATATATAAATAAATACACACACGCTTGTATATATTTAAGAAATATTTTCATGTATACTGTATATAGATTTAAATATAATTTATATTATATATAAATATTTTATATATAAATAATATTTTTTTCCTAAATATACATGCATGTGTGTGTATTTATATATTTAAAAAATAATTATACACAGTGCACCCACATATATTATGTAAACACAAACTTTTATTTTGGATGCGATTAATCGCGATTAATCGTTTGACCGTGTGTGATTGAGTGATTTGAGGTTTTACTGTCCTTACGTAATCAAAACCTGAGCCACACACATCACATTCAACACAAGATCAAAATCTGGACCACAAAAGCGCATGTGATTAAACTTTGGAAGCCTCATTTGCAATGATTACACACACACACACACACACACAACTACTCTCCCCTCTCCCTCTGTCCTTTCATTTCTCTCCCTCACTCGAACACAATCTAGGTCACACACCTGCTGAAGCGCGGCCATACACCCTCACTCTTGGCAGAGCACACAGTGTTGCCATGGTTTTAGTGTGTGTCTGTGTGTGTGTGTGTAACATAAAGACTTCATTAAGCCTTTAAAGCTGCTTGGGTCTGTCTCTACACATGCTTTGAGGGACAGAGAGCATTTGTGTGTGTGGTGTAAGGGAATGCACGAGAGGCTATATTCGCATTATTGACACCATTTATATTTGTGTGAAGAAGGATGCGTGTATGTAATTAGAAATGTCTGCTTAGCGTGCGTGCACACACACACACACACACACACACACAGAGAGGAACAATCAAACAAGCAGCAGTCAATGCTGATTGAAAAAACAGAGATAAAACAGAAAGAGTTAGATGGTAAATGTCATATCAGTCCACACCCACTGACAGAGAGAGAGAGAGAGAGAGAGAGAGAGAGAGAGAGAGAGAGAGAGAGAGAGAGAGAGAGAGAGAGAGAGAGAGAGAGAGAGAGACACTGGGGGAATAACAGCAGTGTTAATCACTGACCCTTGGGCTATGACATACTGACACGTGTCTCGCCACAGTAGCTGCTCTTCTTTAACCCATGCAGGATCAATTTCAGCTCTGGTCTCTTCTGTAAATAATATGCGCGTTTTCAATCTACAGTCCTGAACTTGTGTTCAAACAGCAAGGAAAAAAAAAATAATCACATGATGACAAAAATGAATATAATTAAATGGAGAACAAGACTTTTTTATGAGAAGTCTAGTCAGATTTGACTTCTGATGAAATAACGCAGGAAACTCGTGCTCCTCGAGAGTCATTGTCTCACACTGAGGTCACAAGCTCGACATTTCAACTTTCAGTATTCATCACCAGATCCTCCCAAGTCTATTATCTATGCTATCCGCGTGCATTTTATAGCATTACACACTTACTTCATATGAAAAAGATTTTTAAGAAAACGGTGCTTCCCATCGAGCTTTAAAAGAGCAACCTATATGAGTACTATCGATGTCTTCTGGTGTAGAACTTGTAAACTCCTAAATGTTTCACAGCAACAGAAAGTGTTTCTGGGTTGTCCTGCTCTGTTCTCTCTCTCTCTCTGGGTAAACGTGACCTTTCGTCTGTGTTTTTCCCCTCTCACAGAGCTTGTTCTGGATAAAAAAACGGTCTCTGCTTTCTATTCTGATCTCAGTTAATACTTTCTTTTAAGTGCTTGACTGCATTCAAACTGCTCTGATTTAGTGTAGAAATCTCACCCAAGCGGTCTTTCATGAGAAACCTTTTATT